TGTGTACTCTTGAGGAAAATTTTGAACTTCACAATTTGCAAAATCACAAGCTCTCCCATTGTTAGCTGCATGAAAAGATCCGGCATGCACATGCTGAGAGCCATGAAGAGCTGCATGTGGCTCAAGAAGTGTTAGGAGAGTTGTTTCTCAAAGGATGTTATTGCCAAACTAATTTGACAAATCTACTGGTGTGGGCCAGGATCTTTGGTAGCAGTTATTAGACTTGGGAAGTACTGCAAATTTCCACCCTCACCCCCTGAAACAAGCTCATGGCCATCAATGTGATTCATGGATATAGAATCACAGAACAAGAGATAACTCTGCTACTTCCACTTTACCTAGCAACTCAAGAACGTCATACAGCATCCTGGTCTTGTGCTCTTGAATGCACTAGGTCTTGCTAGTTTGGGCAGCCTGCTTCTCTTCTTTCAATGTGTCTGCTTGTCCTTTCATTAACTGAGTGAAACAAAATCTAGATGCAGAGCTTGCAACTCAAGGGCCACTACTTTTTTTGCAGACGCAAAGTATTTTTAAGTGTCTGCTGTCTCAGCTTTTGCTTGGACAGCAGCAGAAAAAAGTATTACTTGTATATGAAGATTGCCTAGAGTGGTGGGTGTATTTAGAAGATGCTTGAAAATATGATGTTGAGCCATGGGAGAAAAAGATAAAGTTCTCTCTTCCTAATTCAGGTGACTGAACAGATGACTGAAATCCCTGTTGCTGCTATACTTGCTCATCTAAGATTTTTTGTTGATTGTATATTTTTTTTTTACCCTTTCCCCTTTTAAGTTACTCATCAGTCTTTGCTCAGCATGCTCACTTCTATGCCTTCTAAAGCAGCGGTCGCCAACCAGTGGGCCGCGGCCCACTGGTGGTCCATGAGAAAATTTTGGTGGTCCGCAGAGAAATGCCACCCTAAAGCACCACACTCCCAAAGCAATCAATCCAGGCTGCAGGGGAACACAAGGCTGTGCCGCCCACATGGCCCGGGAACACAAGGTTTGCATTAGAAACAACACAAGGTAGTGGGGGGGAGGGGGGAAAGGGGGGGGAAATTTGTCTGGCCACTGGGTTGCTTTTTTCCGCTTCTTTAGTCTTCTGCTTTTGGCTGCACACAAGAAAAGCAGCAAAAGTCTTTCTTTCTATCCCCCAAACTCTGCCAGAAATGAGTCTTTGCAGCCTCTTGGAGCAGGATGCCTTGCAGGGTCCCAAAGACTCATTTCTGGCAGAGTTTGGGGAATAGAAAGAAAGACTTTTGCTGCTTTCCTTGCATACAGCCTGAGAACGGAACTCAAAGCAGGGTAGGAATGGGGCTGCCTTGGAGGGGGTGGGGTGTGTGTGAGAGGGAGAGAGAGAAAGAAAATCACCAGCCCTCAGGTTAGATCGATCTCCCTCCCCCCTCCCTCTAAGAACAGAGCTCAAAGCAGGCTAGGAATGCCACCCCAAAGCACCTCCCCAAAGCAATTATTCCAGGCTGTGGGGGAACACAAGGCTGTGCTGCCCACATGGCCCGGGAACACAAGGCTTGCATCACTTGCATTAGGAACAGGAGGTAGTGAGGGGAGGGGGGAAAGGGAGGAAGGGGGAACTTGCCTGGCCACCGGGTTGCTTCTTTCTGCTTCTTTCGTCTTCTGCTTTTGGCTGCATGCAAGGAAAGCAGCAAAAGTCTTTCTTTCTATCCCCCAAACTCTTCCAGAAATGAGTCTTTGGGACCCTGCAAGGCATCCTGCTCCAAGAGGCTGCACCAGCAAAGACTCATTTCTGGCGGAGTTTGGGGGAGAAAAAGAAAGGCTTCTGCTGCTTTCCTTGTGTGCAGCCTGAGAATGGAACTCAAACCAGGCTAGGAATGGGGCTGCCTTGGAGGAGGTGGGGTGTATGAGAGATGTGTTTGAGTGTGTGTGTGTGTGTGTGTGTGTGTGTGTGTGTGTGTGTGTGTATGTGTGTGTGAGCGATCCAACGCTGCTGGGAAATTCATGGGGGGGGGGGGAATTTGCATGTCTCTGTGTCTTTCCAGCCACAAGGTGGGTGGGGGTGGAAGCAAGACAGAGAGAGAGAGAAAGAGGAGGGAGTGATCCATCGTTGCTGGGGAATTAAATTCATGAGGGGGGGGGGTTTGCATGGCTTGACTACTACAGAGTGACCTATCTCAGGACATAGTACTGTGCATTCAAATGTTTGTCCTGTAATGACTGGAATGAAAATGGAGTGGAAATGGGTATTTCATGCTTGCTGACAAACTTTCATAAGTGTAAAGTATAGGGAAAAAAAAATACTAGTTATACATTACTCTTAACAAAGACAAAACACCAGGACTTTGGATCCCCCCAAACCCAAAGGATGAGAGAAGTCCTTCCTTTCCCTTTGCTCTGCCCCAGAATTCCCATTTATGTTTATGTTTAATATAAAAAATAAAAATTTTATATTAAATATATTATCTTTTTTTTTAAAGTCATATTACTGGGCCTTGGGATTTAAAAGTATGAGTTTGGTGGTCCCTGAGGTCCAAAAGGTTGGTGACCCCTGTTCTAAAGGATCTCTAGAATTTGTGGTGGCATTAATATCAAGCTCAGCCTTTTTAAATTGATCTGAACATGCAGCAATCTTTACTTCATCTGGTTCTTTATTATGTTTTTTCCTTATTCATTTCATATATTTTATGTAATATATGCTCAACTGTTATAAATTATTTTTTTTAATTGCTGATTTGAGTTCTGGGACATTTTTTAAATTATGTAATACCTAAATATGTCAAAGAAATTGTGAATGTCTTTGTGAGATTAACTTGTAAATGTAACTATAGATGGATATGATTACGTGGTTTTTCCTGTACCTTCTGTGCTTAAAGATATCTAACAGATTGCCTTGAGTTAAAAACAACACATTGACTAATTTTAGAATGTGAAAGCAAAGCAGAAAGAGTGTAAAGATATTTAAAGAAATGACATTATTGATGAGTGCAAATACATGAAATAACTTGAAAATAGGAAACATACAGAAACTATGATGAATTAAGAACCAAAGTATACCATTTTTTAATTTTAAGCAGAATAATGGAAGTATGCATACTACTACTGATCATTGTAAGGCTGGTCTCCACAATCTATCTAAGTGGATTATTATAAAACAACCAGAACAACAAAATCTTGATTTGAGCACTAATAGTTTAATGTTTTTCATCTCTCAGAAATCATTGTATATTGTTTTGGATTAGTCAACCACATAGAATTTTTTACTAGAAAATAGTGGGTTTACTAGAAACTTAGGTAAAGATGAAAAGCACTTACAATAAATCTCCTGAGTAAATCACATATATCCTGTTCGAGACAATATGAGAAAATAAATTATAAGATAGTCACAAATTGAATCTGCATAATAAATAAGGCAATTGTCCTTCCTTGCCTATTTGTTAGAGTGCTGAAAAAAAGAGGCAGAGTTATCTTTTGTCAATACAGTTTTGCAACTCTGAATTCTTCAGTTTTTGTGGCTCAGTTCTTAAGTAAGGTACTTTTTTTTTCTTTTTTGTTTGGGCCACTTGTTGCAATTAGTCTCTAATATATTTCTGTTTTGCTTTTGTAAGATTCTATAACCACTTCACGTGTTTGTCTTAAAGGCATCCTAGTGACAACTTACACTTATCTGCAGTAGTTTAATTTCTTTTAATAACTTAACATAGTTTTTAATCAACACTTTTATGTATAATCGTTATATTATATAAGTTTTGTTCTGGTTTTCTACTAACAATCCAGAACCCAGTTGGTTTCCTAATGAGACTATAGTTCCATTTGAGCCCTTTTCAACTGCTTTATTGGATCAGGACTTCCATACAAATGTTTTTTATACACTGTGTTATGAAATACTAAACCCACTGAACGGCTGCTAGCCTGCCCACTTTGTCTTTCTTATTTATTACGGTCCGTTCCTACAAAGTCATTTCACAATGTTATATTCTAAGGGGATTCCTTCCCTCTCTCCCCCTCTCGCTGAAATAAAGGTAATTGACTCCTAGTAGCTGTTATGTCATAATTTAGTATTAACACACTCCTCCTCTGCTCAGAAGAAATCAAGCACCGTCATAAAGGTCTCACTCGAGAAGTTAGGCGCATTTCTTTCCCTCGCCAAAAAGGCACAGCGTGGCACGCGCCCGGAGCACACCGCCATCCGCCGCCCCTTTCAGAGAACGGTTCTTTAAAAAAAAAAAAACCGAAACAGAAAAAAAGGTAGCGATGTGGGTTAAACAAGCCCATTTATTCCGAACAATCAAAGCCAACAATCTCATCGCCAATTTTGCTTCTTGATTGACTCGGGAGCTTCCCCCACCCCTAATAAACGGAACCGACGCGTCGCAAGGGGTGCCCCGAAGTGTCTCCCGCCGTAGTATCCAAACGCCCTTTCTGGATGGAATTGGAAACTGCGCCCTGCCTAGCAAACCGAGAATCATTCCGGGGAGGGGGATGGGGGATGGGGTGGGGTGGGGGAGAAAAAAGCGAGCCTTGTGGAAAAATTATCCCCACCTTCTTTCTCCGCCTCCTTCGGCTCTTACGCACTTACACCTCTTTCCCGCCGCAGTCACTAGAGAAAATAAACGTTTTCCTGACGCCTTTCCAGAGTCTGGGCCAAACCATCCCGGGGGAGGGGCGTTTCTAGCGGTTTTTTCTTTTCTTTTTTTAAGGTCCAGGGCGGGGATAAAGTTTGCAAAAAGCGACTCTCCTCCCTCTCCTTAGTCTCCTTCACCCGGTCCGAAGGATTGGAGCGAATTGTGAGTTTTAGCGCGCCATGTGACAGGGGCTTTGAGGATAGCCGCGCGGGCCGCCGGCGCTCGCCCGCCCGCCCGCCTCTACACGGAGCCCTGGGCGAGCGGAGCGCCCTGTGTGTCTGTGTGAGGGGCTGGGGGGGCGGGGGGGAAGGGAGACCAGCGCAGGCGCAACGCCCGCCCGTCTGCTCGCCTGCCTGCAACCGGGGCGCCTTCGCTCAGTGCAGTTGATGGCAGTGCCGGCGCCCGCCGGGAGCGCAACGCCCCGGGGACCGGAGCCCAAGATGTGCAAGCCGAGCAGAGGCAGCGGCTGCAGCAGCTCCGGAGCTCGAAAGAGGGACGGGGACCGACAGTGTCATCCATCGCTCGTGGCAAGTCTGCTCTCCTGACTTGCCTGCCGTCCTTCCCCCGCCCCTCCCGGCGCTCCCCCCAAAGAATGTCAGCCAAGTCGAAGGGGACCACATCCTCTTCCTCCGCCACCTCCTCGTCCGTGTCCTCTCCAGCCGAAGGGGTGCCGCCAGCTTCCAAAGCCAAGGTGAAGGAACAGATCAAGATAATCGTGGACGATTTGGAATTAGTCCTGGGGGACCTGAAGGACGTGGCCAAGGAGCTGAAGGAGGTGAGAGAAGCGCCAGCTGGGTGGCGTGGCTAGGAAAAGAAGGCAAGCCACCCCCTGGTCTGGATCGCCCAGGGTAAGCCCGGTCCTCCTGCCCCGCTTCCCTCAGCCCGGACTGCCCCAACTCCTGGGGAACTGTGGCCGAAGCAGCGGCGGCGGCGGCAGGAGTGGACCGGACTGCGCCAGACTTGTTACACTTTCGAGGCTTGCCTGGCGGCCAGAAATCAACTAGTGTCTCCCTCTTTGGGAACTGGGGTGGACAAGCCCGCCTCGCCCCTGCCTTTGGCTTTGGCTTTTCGCGGGCTGGCAAGGTTAGGGTGCTCGTTTGGCTTCCTCTCAAACTGGCTCTTGGTTCCGAGGCTCTGGAGAAGATGGGCTCGAGGCGCGGCGGCGCAGTCTTTTGGCTTTCTTGGGGGATGACTAAGAACAGAGAAAGGAGTACCTCCTCCGAGTTCGGGAGGGGGGCTTGAGACTGGCGGGTCGGGGGAGCACTGGATGCTTTCCCCATAGCTACCCACTCGTCAGTTGCAGCAGCCAAAGTTGCTGTTCTCCATCTCTTCACGTAAAGCCATGTGTGGGCATTTCTCTCTCTCTCTTTTTCGCCTTCCCTACCCGGTAACTTGGGTGTTAGGTTTAGTCACTGCAATTCGCTGGCTACGGAGACACTTCCTTTCCTGACAGCCGGCGATGCCGCCACTGGATGCCTTGGCTTCTTTTCTGTGGGTGGTTACTTAATTTCACTTCTTTCTGTTGTGGATGTGATTTTAAGAGGTCGGGGGAGGTCGCAGCTTTGAGCCGGACAAATTTATTAGATTGGTCTTTAGCAAAGAAGAGCTAGGATAAAGCAAGTGATCTAAATCTGAGGGATTATGCTGAATTTAGGTGGGCCAGATAACATTTTTAAGAACCTAAATTATGTTATATATGCGCATGTTTCTTGGGTTTCTGTCAAAAACAGCAAAGGCAATCTGCCTGCAAAGATTTGTAAATAAGAATATAATTCCTCAATTCCCAAAGTCCTCACAACTGCTCACTTTCAAAACACATTGATATTTCGTCTTCCAGCTTTCCTCATTTTTTCAAACTTCAGGCAGTAGAGTGTTCCATGTGATCCAGTAGAATTTGGCAGTGCACTCTTGAGCCATTTTTAAATGACTTTTTCCAGCTTTTGGACCTCTTGTGTGCTGTGATGGTTAATAGGTTGTGATAGATTATGTAGTTTTCAGTGCAGTAGAAATAGGAAAAGTAGTAGATCCAGTTATGTAGCATCTGACACTTTTATATTCAAACATATGTAAGTCGAAATGGATATAATTAAAAGGTATCAGCATATGGATTTTTATTCATCCAAATATATACATACTGATCTGACTAATGCTATGACAAAGAATAAAGACCTTTCTTTCCTTTCACCTTGTTTAATATTGTGTTCTTAATGTTTAACACTCTGGAATTGTTACCTGAATTGGGTAGGCCTAAATGACAAGAGGGAATTAGAATCAGTTGCAGACCTAACTTAAGGCTTCATTAGGAAAGATCTATAATTTGCCTTAGGAATTAAGTCACACTTAGCTCTTTGAATTAAATACTATCGATATTGCTCAGGTAAGCAGATGGATAACATATAGCATCAAGGAAGGATTTTTAATAACTAAACATATAGAGATTTGCTTGCTGTAAATATACGGGGAGTGGCAGTTGGAAATGTATAAATATCATTTCATACTTTGAAAATGAAATTGCTGGAAAATCTGAATTGTAAATCACAGAATACATGTTATATATCTGCTGGCCTTAGATGTCTTGGGAACCAATATAATATAACCTTTAGCCAAGCAAATGTCAACTCCTTTAGTTTAATTTGCAGAGAGAATTACAGTGGAGATGTTCTGTAGTAGCAAACACTACAGTTCAAATAATGCAACTTATCTGTCCTTCTCAGAGCTTCTGCATTTCTTTCAGATGTTTAGTTTTAATTGATTATTTTGTTTTGTTTTGCTAGCGAAACTGGTAGATAAATGTTTGGGTTTTGCGCTGCATATTGAATGCAAGCTTGTTCATATTCTTTATTCATTACATTATACAAGTCATTTCCTTTGTTTTCTGATTTTTAAGAGATCTTGTCTCTAAGAGATGTTAAACACAGTTTTTAATTTGAAGAACTTTGAATAGTGCAGGAATAACTTTTATATGGTAACCCTTCCTTCACCCTGTTAGATATTTCTTCTTGGCAAAATGTTTGTTATCCTAACTGAGAAATCTCAATGCACATTTTAAATATATGTGGTTGTTAGTTATCTTCATGTAAGCAATTTGTATAATAATGTTATCTTTTAGTGTTTAAATTTAACCACTAATTCTGCCAGAGTGTATATACATTTTAGGATCTGGCAACCAACCTATCACACTAATGTGTTTTATGGTTTCCAAGGGCTTCTTTCTAGAAACTAAGCAGGATTTCGGTAAGTAGAAGTCACATGGCATTTACTATGACTTGGATCTATTATTATTGGCTGCTTCACTAAATCCAGTTGCAATAAATATTGCTGTTAGTGCTTGCTGCCAGAAACTGCCTCTAACTATGACGGTTTTAATAGAAAGGAAACTATAGTATAAAAATGTATCAGGGAAATATAAAGCTTGAAATTATAATATTATACATCTAAAGCAATATCTGTATCTAATCATGTAATGATTATTGCAGTAAATTGCCATTATCATACAAATTCTGCCTTGTCTTAGACACACAAGATTCTTTGAAATTGCAGAATGCCTAATTTGTTCAATAACCTATGTTGCAAAGCTTATTGAATGCTAAGCAAAAAGTGAAAAAAATGTAGACTTAATATTAACTTCTGTATTCATATGGTATGTTTCATGTATATTTCATTGTTCTTTTGAGAAACCCAGTCATGCAAATAGTATATTTGAATCCAGTCATCAGAGACAAACTGCTTAGTTCAGGGCTGTCAAACTCATGGCCCGCAGGCCGGATGCATAACATGCTGGCCACGCCCATGCCCGGTTTAGTGAAGGAGGAAAAAAGTTGCAATACATCATGTGACATTGCCATGACAATGGGAGTTTGATACCCCTGCCTTAGTTCAATAACTTTTAATATATAATATGCCTTTATATCATGCCTCTAAAATTGGGTTTTAAACTAATGAAACCAATTTCTAAAAATATATTGGTCTTGTGTCTTTTAAGTACAAAAGTATACAGGTAGTCCTCGACTTATAACAGTTCACTTAGTGGCTGTTTCAAGTTTCAATGCCATTGAAAAAAGTGACTTATGATGATGTTTCAGACTTATGACTTATGACCCATGGTCACATGATTTACCTTCTGATGCATGACCAACTGACTCATATTTATGACAGTTGCAGTGTCCTTGGGTCATGTGATCCCCTTTTGAGATCTCTTGACAAGCAAAGTCAATTTGGAGAATTGGGGAAACCAAATTTACTTAACAATCGGGTTACTAATTTAACTGCAGTGATTCACTTAACAAATGTAGCAAGACAAGTCATAAAATGAGGCAAAACTCACTTAACAAATTTCTCATTTCTCTCTTAGCAACATAAATTTTGGACTCAATTCTGGTCATAAGTCAAGGACTACCTGTAGTTGAAGATGTTGGGGGCAATATGCTGATTCTGTAAACCATTTAGAGAGTGCTATGAAGTATATAAATCTAAGTGTTATTGCTATTCACTCTATAAGCGGGAATATACAGTAGCTGCTCCAAAGAAGGAATATAGGTTGGTTAATTCAATAGCTGTTTAGTAAAGCTGATAGAAAGTTACAACCATATAGAAGGGTTACTTTTGCTGAAAGTAAACAAAGGTAAATCCTTTCTGTCAAAATCTTTGGAAAATATCAACAACTTATGGAAGAAGTAACTCTATAGAACATTGCTTACATAGCTTTCCAAAGGATTGATTCTCACTATATATTTCTGAACAAACTTAGTAGTCATGGGATCAAAGTTAGAAATCTGTAACTGGTAAAAGAACAGAAATGAAGAATAGGAATATAGGAATCTTCTTAGAGTAAGTAGGTTAAATATAGTATTCCCCTAAGGAACTAAATTGTTATTGGTGTGACTTGAGTATTGAATGGTCTGAAGTAAGGAGTTATGATGGTTGTTAATGACAACAGAGGATTAGTAGGGTGACTACAACAATGAAGGAAAACAGAGTTATAAATCTCTCTAAAGTAGGAATTAAGAATTAATAAAGCAAATTCATTTTTAAAATAAAAAATAGTACATTATTAAAACAAAATGAAATCCTAATATCGTATTTATAGTTGTGATGGTGATTGACCAGAAAAGAGATCGCAGGTGGATGGTTTGATGAAAGCATTAATACAAAATGTAGAATGTACAATTCTGTATATTCCTTTCAATAATGTAGCATAATATCTCCCAGTACTAGTAGCTGGAAAACATATATGTGAGATCCTCTTTAATTCATGTTCTAATTGTAGATTTCCAGGAGACATCTGGTTGATAACAGGAAGATAGACTAAATAGGCTATGATATAATATGGCATTTTATATTTTTAAATGTCTAATTAAAAAAGAGCTTCTACCTATAAATAATAACAACACATTCTTAATTATCTAGAGGCACAGCTCTAAGCTAAGGGTAAGAATATATTTTGTACTCAGAATGGTGTTCATCTAGATAATTGCTATCCATTGTCCTTTCCCTTTTGCAATGAAAACAGTGGAGTCATGTTTGGTCCAATGCAACTAGAAACTTTTAAAAAAGAGGATTACCTACCTTTTTAAGCAAGCAGCTTTAAGAGCAGCATTGTCTATCTTATGCACATGTGGTATACTGTATAAATATGAATGAAAGTTTCTATTTCAGATGTAATTTCGATCAATGATGTATCAATTTTCCTAGCAGTCTTTAATATTTTATTTTAAATAGTGGATTAGATTCAGACTTAGGTATATTTCACATGGCAATTAATGTGGTTTTATTTAG